CGCGTAAAAGAACTAGTATATATATATATATATATATATATATATATATATATATATATATATATATATATATATATATATATATATATATATATATATATATATATATATATATATATATATATATATATATATATATATATATATATATAATCGCACTCAGGTGCGAATGCTTCGCCCAGGCGCGAAATAGGAATGAATTATGTTCGTCCACGTGTCCATATCTAATGGATGAGAAACACTGATTTTTTAAAAAAAATCCGGCGGCATTTTCGTAAATAATTGAACATCGAAGTGCAAGTAAAATGTATTACAAGTGCATGTAAAATGTATTATATGTGCAAGTAAAAATTTACACTGAGCATCAATACTTAGTTGCACCTATAGTTCTAAGTAGTTGCACCTATAGTTCTAAGTAGTTGCATAAAGAGTTATAAGTAGTTGCACATAGGTGTATGAATGTTTGTGAGTGGGTTTCAGGGGTATTACTACCCGCTGAACTCAGATCAATGAATGTTAACAAGGCAAAATTACATGCACTTATAGGTGAAAGTAGGTGCACCTATAGTTATAAGTAGTTGCACCTATAGTTATAAATAGTTGCACATATAGTTATAAGCCCACCCAGGTGCATGAATGTTTGCGGAAAGTGAATGCTAACAAGGTAAAATTACATGCACTTATAGATGAAAGTAGGTGCACTTGTAAGTGATTTTACTTGCATTTCGATGTTCAATTATTTACGAAAATGACACCGCATTTTTTTCAAGTTATTAGATCTGGACATGTGTCGCGCGCTGATTCGTTCGCATTTCCCTCCTGAGCACTTATTCGCACCTGAGTGCATCCCTATATATATATATATATATATATATATATATATATATATATATATATATATATATATATATAAGTTGTCACATTTGTTGAGCTATTATTTATAATAATTATTATTAGATTTTTTGTAGTAATAATTTAGGAAATAGTTCGGGCTGAAAGTAGGATTTTATTTTTATTAATAATATAGATAAATTACATTTTTTTATAAGAACTTTATTATTATTTTTTAAAAAAGTTATTGACTATATTAGATTGTAGTATCCGTTTATATATATTTTCTCAACCTGTTAAAAAACAAAGAATTCGGAGTTAATACCATCTCCACTGATGTTTGATCTTATAACCTCTCATATGAAAGAATCACAACATGTCATTTGAGTACAAAGTGCTTTGACAAGTACTTTATTTTTAAAATAGTAGCAAAGTATTACATTATCTATCTTTGACATGACTCATTTAACGGATAAGTTTTTGTCATTAAAAGAAGAGGGTAAGAGCGTGCGTAAAAAATGAGAGTAATCACAGAATTAATCTTTCCACTCAGATATCAGATATTGTGATGTGATGAAGCACTGTAATTTTAGCCTTTGAAAAAAAAAAAAAAAAGGAAGTGAGAAACGTGATGGACAAAAACAGAGAGGAGAGGAGAGGAAATGGGTTAGGTTACGGTTGGAGTGGGGAGGGCGAGCGAGAAACCCTAGAAAATGGCGAAGAAGAAAGCATGGTGGCACTACTGGGCTTTGACAAAGACCACTCTCTCTCTCTCTCTCTCCCGCTTTCTTTCTGTCTCTGTCTCTGTATATTCCTTCGAGAAAGAGAATGGCGGGGTCCCATACCGACTTGGACAAAGAAAGGCGCACGCACGAGCTTCATTCAATACCTCAGTGACTCTCTCTGTAACGTAAAGATATTCTCCTTTTTCTTACCCCCTTTTTACTTTCCCATTCACCCTTCTTCTTTTTCTTTGTTTTGCTTTACTTCTTGTACCTATCTGTTTGTATTTTTGGCCCCATTTTCAACTTTGTTTATTTCTGGCGCAATTTTCATGGACTTCTTATACTATACGAAAACTATATCTGTATCTCTAATTTTGATGCCAATATAATGTTTTAGAAAGATTTTAAGGCCCTGAGTAAAATATTTAGTTACGGGTAAAATATTTAGTTTATAAGTTAATTTTAGATTATTTAATCACTATTAACTATTACACTAAGTTAAAAAATTAATATAAGTGTTTAGTTAATTAACTTTTTGTGATTTTAAAATACTAAAATTAAAAAAACTACTCAAAACAATTTTTTTAATTAGCTTTTTGAGAAAAGAAATTATAACAGCTAATTTACCAAACACCTTTCTACAATCAGCTAATGTTATCAATTAGTCATACCCTCTAACAGTTATATGCTGACAGCCATTTACCAAACAGGGCATCTATCGGTCAATTTTAGCTTATTTGACCACTATTAGTTGTTTGACTTAGTTAAACAATCAATACGCGTGTTTGATTAATTAGTTTTTTGCTCAACACTAAAATTCAAAAAGTTGTTCAAAGTAGCTTTTTCGATCAATTTTTTTAGAAAATCATTTTGTATGTAATGAGCTACCAGCTAACAACTAATTTACTAAATATCTTTTTATAATCAGCTAATGTTATCAATTAGTAAAACTCACTAACCCAATCAACTAACAACTATTTACCAAACACTCTTTTATAACTTTGAATAGTTGGAAAAAAGTCTGTTTTTCTAAAGAATCCACTTTCCCATTCCTTTCCCCTGCCCCCACTTTTTTCCTTTGTTTTTTTTTTTTTTTGGGTAGATATTCTCATCTTGAGATAATTCATTCAGATTTGCACGCTATGCTATTGTGGGAAACTTCAGTCTTAAATTAGAAGCTAGCACTCAGTTGTGGGTCAATGGAATAGATGGCCTTGAAATTTTGTCTCACAAGAGTCAAAGGTTGTGTAGATTGTGTTAACCTTTCACATGATGACATTGTGTGCAAGACTTTTAACATAGTTATGTGAATGTATAATTTTTTGGGATGACGAGGAAATCCGTAGTCGTGCACTAGGTAAATCCCGCTGGTAAAAGGACCACAAAGAGGTAAATCAATCTAGGTTACTAATAGTTGACTGGGTCAAACTAAAAAGGCTGAGATTCAAATTCCTGATCTTGTGGTTACAAGTTTGTATCCTTAACTATCTTGACTGGGGTTACCCCAATGTATAATTGTATGTATGTGAATGTGTTTGATTCATGATTGCTAGTATTTAAAAAACAAGAAAAAGGTTGTATGAAATGACTCTCAAGATTAATGCAAGTAAGCAGCACTTGCTTTTATCCTTAAATTACTCTCACAAATCATAACTACAAAGATTCTTGACAGCAGGGAATAAAATCTTTCACTCATATATAGTATATAGTTTGAGAAAAAGTGAGATCCTAGGCATGACATTGTGAACAAATAAGTTGACATAATTTGGTCTTGCTAATGTTATACAACCAATGACAACTCATAGAAAAAGCATGCAGTATTTAAGTTTTAAGGATTCAATCATTTTAGTACATCTTGCATTCCTTTTTATTTGGTCAGCGCATACTCCTTTTCTTGCAAAGAGGCAGGCAAGGGAACAGAACATGGAAGTACAATTGAGGGTTTACACATAAAAATAAAAGCATCATTGTGGAATTCGTGCTAATGCATTCTTTAATATTTTATCAATGCTTTGATGAGGAATCTTGTTTAATTGTAGAGAAAAAAAAAATTAAATTGAATTAATTTAGCTGGCTAGAAAAGATTATGATAAATTTCCCTTTTATACTCATCTGGCAATACTCAATAATGTTTATTTTGTAAAGCCAGTACTTATATATCTATCACAAAGGAATTCACACCAAAGTTTAAAATAAGTACTTGCAGTGCACATTTCTTGTCCAAGATGTATATAGTGCATAGAAACTTCTTTTCTTACCACTACCTTTGTACGTTGTGCTTTCTTTTGTGTATAGTCGTATAGAGAAAGGAAAAATGTATGTGTTGGGCGAAGGCCGGTAAGAGCTAAGTCTAGCACCCGGTGATTATTGGGAGATTGTTGGGCAGAGACCATTATATTGTTTCAGTAGGTTCTAGGCGCTTGTCGGGCGATAGAGTAGTACTTAGTGCCTAGACCGACTAGGCGGGGCCTAGATGGGCGCCTATCTATGCGGCTAACTAAAAAAAATAGTGCACGTGTGTGGGTATATATATATATATATATATATATATATATATATATATATATATATATATATATATATATATATATATATATATTTTGAAAAAAGATTAGAAGGGCTGAGCCGACTGGGTTAACTCGGCTAACTCGACCAAAATAGACGAGTTAACTCGGTCGAGTTAAGTTCTAGGCGGCCGAGTCAGGCGCTAGGCGGGCGCCTAGCGAAAAACTCTCCACGGTCTAGGGGCGCCTAGACCGATTTTTGCAATAATGGCGGAGAGAAGTAAATGGCTTAAAAGGCCAAGTCAAGCACTCAGTGTCTCGAAAATGTGATGGCAGTCTATAAAGAAATAAAATTGTGTATCCGCTACTAACTATAGTTTTTGGCGTAAGTGGTAAGTGCTTGATCTAACAAATGGTATCAGAGTCAGGTCTCAGGTTTAAGACTGGCTAATCCCCGAACTTGTTGGTGCTGGATGGGGGAATTGTTGGGCGGAGGCCGTAGTTTAGGTCAAGTCCAACACTCAGCGTCTCGAAAATGTTTTACCACGTAAGTGGTAAGCGCTTAATCTTAACAGTATCTATGCTGTGCGAAGATGCATGTGTATAATAGTTTGAGATACATACTAAAAGCATTCAGTTCTATGCCTTTGAGGTTTTTATCATTCCTGTAATAACTTAATAAAAGAATCACGGCTAATGAATCCTTAGTCACCATTCAAAGCCAGTCAAAAGAGCATTTTGGAAATACCCGACAAAGCTGAGGCCTTTCCCCAACATCTGTCCCTGCCTTCTTCCTTTCAACCATTTTTGTTCAAACACAGGTCAAGGTGCATTCTAGTAATTATCCCACAATTCTCTGTCCTATTTCATATTCTTGCCCCTTTCTCTATTTATATATGCACTCAAATTCTCACTCCCTAACATACTAACCACCCCTCTTCATTTCCTAAACTATCACCATTCTAAAGCCTTTTCCTCTTCTCCAAGCCCCAGAAGCTACCAAACCCTTAGACTTATTGCTGCAGTATTCTGGTATTAACCTTAATGTTCGCTATAGCTTTCTTGTTTAATGTGTCCTTGCATGTCCGTAATTTGTGCCATGTTTCCCTTGGTACTAATATTTATATTGATCTTTAGTTTGTACCATAATCCAAATTGTATATATAATTGCATAGTATACTTCCTTGGATTCTTGTCTGAAGTTGCTTTTGTCTGTAAAATATACTAATATACATATGTATATGTTTTACATGAATAAGAAAAGATTCCTACCTCATAGAAAGCTGAGTTTATGTTTTATGCTTTATTGAGTTAGCCCATCACTTTTTTTAAAAAAATGTTTTTAGATAGCTCTGGATCCAAGATTTCCCATAGTAACAGAAGTATAATGTTTTCATGCTTTTGACAGAAAATGGAGAAGGGTCACACCTCTTAGCAGAAAGTTGTTTGAGCTATCTTCATCTGCTTTGACATTTGGCTTATTGAATCCACTTCTTGAGTTCATGCTGATATAAAGCTTTTTGACGACGAAAAAGATGACAAAGATTGGCAACAACAGATTGATCATGTTCGTCGTCTTTGTGCTTGTATTGTTTAGCTTGCAAGCATGCAAATGTTCGGAGCTCGAGCTACTAGTATCGATGAAAGCGTCGTTGAATGATCCTTTGGGCTCTCTTCGTGATTGGAATTCGTCTCGAGGTTTATGCGAATGGAGTGGTTTGGTTTGTGATGGTTCATCACATGTTGCCAAGATTGAGCTCTCTGGGAAGAACTTATCAGGTAGAATTCCAGAGTCGTTGTTCGAGTTGTTCGAGTTGCCATATGTGAAATCTATTGATCTCTCTAGCAATGAGTTATTTGGAGAGATTCCAAGCAACTTATTATCTTCTTGCTTGTCACTCCAATATCTCAATCTAAGCAACAACAACTTCACAGGGGGGCTTCCACAAGTGCCAAGTCCATTACTCGAGACTCTGGATCTCTCGAACAACATGCTTTCTGGGAAAATCCCAGAAAATATTGGGTTTTTCTCAGGCCTTAAGGTTCTTGATTTTGGTGGGAATGTGTTGGTGGGAAGCATTCCAAAGTCTATTACAAACATGTCTCGGTTGGAGTACTTAACCTTGGCTTCGAACCAATTTTCTGGAGAAATACCCCGGGAGTTGGGGGTTATGAAGAATTTGAAGTGGATTTATCTGGGGTACAACAATTTCTCGGGTGGAATCCCGGGGGAGATTGGGGAGTTGCCCAATTTGTATCATGTCGATCTCGTCTACAACAATCTCACTGGCGAAATCCCTTCGTCTTTAGGTAATCTCACCAGTCTTGAATACCTTTTTCTCTACCTAAACAAGCTCTCAGGTCCAGTTCCATCTTCCATTTTTGGGCTCAAGAAACTGAAGTCACTTGATCTAAGTGACAATTTTCTGTCTGGTGAGATTCCTGAGCTTATAGGGCAACTGCAGAACTTGGAGATTCTCCATCTGTTCTCCAATAATTTCACTGGCGAAATCCCGACATCCTTAACCTCGTTGCCTCGTCTCCAAGTTCTTCAGTTGTGGTCTAATCAATTCTCGGGTGAGATTCCAAGGGAGCTTGGGAAGTTCAACAACCTCACCATATTAGACCTTTCCACCAATAAGCTCACTGGGAAAATCCCAAACCATCTTTGTTACCCTGGCCATCTCTTCAAGCTCATCCTCTTCTCAAATTCCCTTGAAGGAGAAATCCCAGAAAGCCTTTCTCTTTGCAAAACCTTGCAGCGAATTCGCCTTCAGAACAATAAACTAACCGGTCGTTTGTCCCCCGAGTTCACCAAGCTTCCGCTTGTCTACTTTCTTGATGTCTCGGGGAATAATCTCAACAGCTCAATCAGTGAAAGTAACTGGGACATGCCAGCCCTGCAAATGCTGAACTTGGCCAGGAACAAACTTTATGGATCTTTACCAGATTCCTTTGGCACTCGAAAGCTCGAGAACTTGGACTTATCTGGAAATGGATTTTCGGGTGAGATTCCTCCGAGTTTTGGCAAGTTCTCCGAGTTAATGGAGCTGAAGCTGAGTGCCAACAAGCTTACAGGTAAAATCCCAGATGAACTATGTTCATGTGAGAAACTCGTAACCCTCGACCTCAGTCACAATCAGTTCACTGGTCAAATCCCGTCGAGCCTTTCCCAGATGCCAGTCCTGGGCCAGCTCGACTTGTCGGTGAACGAATTATCAGGAGAAATACCACAGAATTTAGGACAAATCCCATCCCTTGTTCAAGTCAATGTCTCCTTCAACCATCTATATGGAAGTATACCCTCAACTGGAGCCTTCCTGGCCATCAACTCCAGTGCAGTTGCTGGGAACACACTCCTCTGTGGTGGCGACGAAACAACCGGTTTGCCACCATGCAAAGGCGGCGCTAAAGCTCGTGTTTGGTGGTACTTCTCGACTTGCCTTCTCGTTCTTGCAGTTCTTGCAGCAGCAATGATGATCTTCGTTTTCATCCGAAAACGAAGGAAGGAAATGGCAATGAATAGAGTGGGGAGCAAAGATGGAACATGGGAGTTACAGTTCTTCGATTCCAAGGCTTCGAAATCCATAACAATGGAGGATATCTCATCTTCAAGGACACAAGAGAATCTCATCTCGAGGCGATCATACAAAGGAAGCTCCAACCACAACATGCAATTCCTGGCAAAGATTGAGAGCAACATAAACCACTCAAGCTACTGGACCGAAACCTCGGAGCTTGGAAACCTTCACCACCCAAACATCGTACGCCTGCTAGCTGCTGCGGCATGCATGTCGGAGAAGCACGGGATTCTGATCTACGAGTACATTGAAGAAGGGAAGGAACTTTGCGAAGCGATTCGTGGAATGGGTTGGGAACGTAGACTAAAGGTGGCTATAGGGATTGCCAGAGCTCTTAAATATTTGCATTGTTCTTGCTCGCCCAGTGTTATGGTGGGTGATGATCTTTCATCCCAGAACATCATCGTTGATCACAGAGATGAGCCCTGCCTAAGACTAAGACTTTCCCATTCAAAGCGTTCATCATCTTCCCACCTTGCTCCAGGTACGTACTTCAACTTTTATTTTAGGGTTTCGTTGTTTTAATATAATATATTGCTAGTTACTCTTTATCTTTACGTGTTTTTTTTTCCTCCACATCCACATTTCTATGTGCATGTTGTGTGTGTGTATATATATGTAAGGTTTGGTTCTGGTGCACCAGCCTCTCCGGTTGTGGACAGATTTTGTACATTAAATGAGTTCAGATCAATGGCTGAAAATTAATAAAAAAGAAAAAAATATTATGATATTTTGATAATTTCTAATGACGAGTGCACTGTCAAACATTTTCATTTCCATAGTGCACTACATACCACTATTAAGTGCACCATGAATCATTACTCTGGGCATCACAGACTTACACTTAGTGTACCACAAAAATATATTTGGTTCAGAAAATTACAAATATATATATATATATATATATATATATATATATATATATATATATATATATATATATATGCCACTGTTCAAATGAGTTCACCCCTTTCTATGAGTCTGTGTAAGCAATTTTGATCTATTAAAAGCTAGGGATCAATGTTCTGGTCCATTAACAACTGTGCAACTGCAGTTGCACAGTTGATAATGAGTCAGACCATTGACTTCTAGTTTTTAATGGACCAGATCTCTCTATACGAATTCATAAGAAGAGGTGCATTCATTTGATCTTTTATATATATATATATATATATATATATATATATGGAAAAGAAAATAACTGACACAAAGCATGCATCACTTTTCTCACCTGCATGATATGCACCACCCTACTACGTACAATAAGCTTCCTTTCCTTTATAGCTAGTCAGCTAGATTAGGATTTAAGAATTGAAGTTGAATTTGTTGGTTGACAGCAGAAATGGTTGAATCTAAAGGCGCCACTGACATGTACGGATTTGGAGTTATTTTGATGGAATTATTGACGGGAAGAAGTCCAGCTGACGATGAGTTCGGCGTGCATGAAAGCATTATCGAGTGGGCCAGGTATTGCTACTCCGATCGCCACCTCGACGCCTGGGTTGACTCGCCTATCAAGCCCGACGCCGTCGTTTACCGGAGCAAAATCGTCGCCACCATGAGCCTCGCCCTCGACTGCACCGCCGACAACCCCTCCGCTAGGCCCACCGCAAGCGCCGCCGTGAAGGCCCTCGAGGGCTTTGTCAGATCCAACTCTTGTGGCTTGAAGCTTTGTAGTAATGTCTAGTTTTTTTTTTTTTTTTTTTTTTGGGTTTTCTAACTCACTGTATTTTATTTTGTTTTATTTTTTATTTTTACTTTTGGTTTTATAAATATTTATTACTTTTGGTATCTTTCTCAACCCACCCACCTCCCCCTTTTTGGTTTTTTCTTGACCAATTTTATGAGGTCTAATTGAGTGCATGTTGCTCAATGTTTTCTTGAATGTTATGATGACTTACTATTAACTATATTTGTGTAAAAAAGCCAAGTGCCAAATTGCCAATATATACATAATACATTATGCTACTTTTTCTTTTATTTTATATATATATATATATATTTAATGTCAGACCACGATGCGTCCTAAGCAAGCACTAATTGTGGGAGGTACTTTTAAACCCGTACTATATTTAAACTAATTCTCAGATGCACCTTTAAGCTCATATCATGCTTTTTCTCTTTATTTTTTATAAAAATAAATCAAAAAACAATATATATATATATATATATATATATATATATATATAACACTAGAAGTGATCACTAATTATTTTAAACATTGGATTCTCGTTCACTTTTAAGTTTTAACATGATAAATTTGGTAGGAAAATGATGATTTCTCCTATTTTTCACCCCTAACACCCTTCATTAATTAATATTATTAGACTAAAAGGCTTCAATAAATTTAAAAAAAAAAAAAAAAAAAGTCAAATAGTTAAAGCATTTTTATTGGTAAGAAATATTTTCACGTTTCACAATAAAAAAATTATGGTGAAGAATGGAAAGGAGCCTAACATCATTCTATCACCATATAGCTTACTCTACTTAAAAAAAAAAAAACATAAATTACACAGTGTAGGATGTACAACTTAACTAGTCAATCAATCTAAAATAAATTATCACACTAGTATACAAGTATTAGGGGTCTATGGCCAATTGAGGATTTGAGATACATCATGTGATTAATGGTAAATTATGAAAAATATTATTCTCAACTTTTACTCCCTCACTTAAAATTTTGATGTACTCACTTTTCCAAGGGCCCATATTAAGAAAATAATCTATCAGTGTCCGTCACATCATGAAGTAAATTTGAGGGAGTAAGATTTGAGAGTACATGTAGTAGAACTTATAAATTATACCTTGGACGAAAGTCTACATTGTAAAATGAAGCACTAATAAATACGGAATATTCATTTTTAGTATATTGAATGTTCATTTTTAATGTAATAAATATTGCTGAGTTTACCCGATACACACACTTTTAAATAGTAATTACAAATTTCCCTTATCATATTATCATCTAAAAATAAATTTTTAATATACTAAAAATAAATATACATGTCAATAGTTTACCTTACAATATATATATATATCAAGATTCATAGTATAAGGGACAATTAACCCACTCTACCAAATTTTCGAGAAAGAAGTATTAGGAAGCCCCTTAATTTGAGTAAAATCTTAAAAAGAAAAAGAAAATTACACAAATCACAATTTTTGTTATTTTTTTTCCTCTAATAAAAATATAAAATATATAGTTGAAATTTACTTTTTGAAATTTGGGTCGACAAATAATTTAATGTTAGAACAATCGAATTGAGCACTTGAATATTTAAAAGAAAAAGAAAAATGAAAGTGCAGTAGCGTATCTTAATCTTGACTAGTGCTTCACACCAGGAACGCATTCCAAGGCCACTGTCTGTCTCATGTCCAACTTCTTTCACACCCATCAAATGGCTAAGAATATTTGCAGCTTTTTGTATATCCTTTCTTTCTCTTTATTTTATTTTATTTTTTTGTTTTGTTTTTTAGGAAACTTTCTCATTATTTTATATGTGCAATAGAATAAGCATATAAAAAACATCCCAATAAACATAGATTTTAAAGAGTTTTTATAATTGTAATTAAAAAAAAAAAAGAAAATAAAAGGAAAGGATAGCAGGACAATAAAAAAAATATAAAAAAAAAAGAGCAAAACAAATCTGAGAAACAAAAGAAAAAGAAAAAAAAAAAAAAGAAAAGATTAACGCGCCCAGCGAGCTTGGAGCAAAAGCTTATAAGAATTGTTAGGTTATCAAAATTAATAAATAATAATAATAATAATAATAATAATAATAATAATAATAATAATAATAATGGGGACATGGGACTTGAAGGGGCCCATTTTATTAGAAAAGTTTTGGAAGTCTTGGCCCAACCGTTCAAGCTGGGTGTCCATCTTTATGAGTGATGTGTTGGCAAGAATAATGGAATTTTATTGGGCTAAGAAAAGAAGGAAGCTTGGAGCAAAAGCTTATAAGAATTGTTATTACTAGGAGGTATTGAAGCTACTATTTTCCTACCCTACGTTCTGTACCTCTATACCCGATTTATGGTGGTCCTGGTCCTGATAAAATCATCATTGTCGCCGTCTGTGGGGAACTCTACGAAAAACATGCATTCCTAGTTTCTACCCGTTGTTGGCAGCATGGAAGAGTCATCATTCTTGAATACTCTGGCTAAGAAGATGGTTTTTAAGTAAACCTCAGTTTCACCATTCGACCTAGGAGTATTTCAAGAAGTAATGTGTTGATCATGCAGGCTAGTTGAAGTGCCACTTGATCATCACCTGAAATGTGTTTGACTTTCACAGGCTCGAGATACGTCGAAATGGCTGAGTCACAAAACAAGCATTCCTGGGACCTGCAAGAACGCCTTAGCAGGCAAGGCGAGAGTAGGTCCGATTTGCGAGGGTCAGTTCTCCACAAAGGGGACATGAGAGGTTCGACTGGCACTATAGTCGTTGGAGAAGGCACTACCATCGGCAAAACCCGAACGATTTTCGTAGTCAAGCCGAACATTCAAGCAAATCATCCTCTTACCCCGGCTCAGCACTCATGAGTTGGAATGGGGGTACCACCAAGGAAGGGGTCTAGTGCAATGGCCCCGAGGTCGCAACTAGAGCCTAAATGAGGGAACACGTCATGGGGGAGATCGATCCCGTTCATGACGAGGCCATCAATGAGAATATTGATCGTACACCGACTGTTAAGGACCCACAGGCCGAGTAACGGCCCTGGACCGAGTAACAACAACTTGGTGGGCTTACAAGCACCCTGGGGAAGTAAGAAAAAAATATTTCTACATTTGAAAAAATATTAACATATATTGTTTGTTTGGCTTACTTGCTAAGCAAGTTACCAAAAAAAAAAGGACGCGGAAGTGGACCTGAATACAATATAAGTGGTCTCGACGGGAGTTGGAAGATCTACGGTATATACAGGATACGCGACAGTAAACAATTGCACCCAAATGGGCTCGTAGGTTGATGTTGGGCCTGCAATGCTGGGTAGGCGACCCAAGAGAAAAAAATACAGAGAGACTGGAGGAAAAAAAGTGGGCCCGCTCCTGCACTTCATACAGGGATTGCAATGTAGGCGGACCATACACATCTTCACTCGGGCCAACAGGACGCAATCCTCAGAAGCCGCGATGTGAAGAGACTTCTTTTTCTCCTTGGCGAGGCAAACCCAACGATGGTTCACGAACCTGAAAGGTAATACCATTGACTTTTTTCATGATTTGGCTGTGAAGTTTATCCCTCATTTCAGGAGAGGAAAGATGGGCCGATATGGCTACCCGGGAAGCTGGGTACCCCGCCCGAATATTTGAGAAGGAAAAATGAATTTCGTGGTAGTAAGAATTGCGTGTGCTCATAACATAATCCTAGGAAGATCAAGGTTAGTCGGCATGGGGGTAAACCACTCTGGACCCATCTCACCTGGACAGATGGGTAGGGTGGGGATAGGGCTCACGTTGGAGGAAATTATTCAACAGAGAGGCTGGCATACCCCAACAAGGAGGGCCATTACATAAGCCATCTCTAGAACGCGCATTGTCTGGAGCGTTCCTTTCGTAACTCAAGCCGGGGGTGGACTAGATGAGCTTTTAGAAAGAGAAGAAACGACCTCATAAGGACGTAGTCCTAGGACCCGATTTGCGCACCCTCACCTAGGCTTGCAGTGCATGGTACGCAACCCAACGTGCCATAAAAAAAAAAGAAAAAAAAAAAGAAGAAAGAAGGTGTGTGGTGCTAGCATGAGGCTGCAGGCAACCCACAAACCCTAAAAGTGGTATTTCCAAGCCAAAGGGACGCGATCCCTAAAGCTCGGCGAATACCCTTCTCCACTTGGGCATGCAGGGAAAGATACGCAACCCATGCAATCTCAAAAAAAAAAAAATTAAAAAAGAAGGAAAGGTACGTGGTGCTAGCATGCGGCAGTAGACAGCCTACAAACCTTAAAAGCGGTATTTCCAAGCCAAAGGGGCGCGATCCCTAAAGCTCGGCGAATACCCTTCTCCACTTAGGCATGCATGGCATGGTACACAACTCAGCGTGCTTTATTCTCCAAAAAAAAAAAAAAAAAAAAAAAACGTAAAGGAGAGAAACATGTATGGTGCTAGCATGAGGTAGGAGCCAGCCCACATACGAGAGTAATATCCAGGCTAATGGGACGCGATCCCTAAACACGGCAAATACCTGCATCTCGATCCTTAGCAGTCGACACATTTCCACCTAGGCCTGCACGGTCGACATATATTATCTATCTCGCTTCTCAGCGGTCGACATTTATCTTTTTCCGCTTCTTAGCGGTCAATTTATTATTTATCCCGCTTTTCAGCGGTCGACCTTTATCTTTTCCCGCTTCTTAGTGGTCGACTTATTATCTATCCCGCTTCTCAGCGATCGACATGTATTATCTATCTCGTTTCTCAACAGTCAACATGTATCTATCCCGCTTCTCTGCGGTTAACATATTATCCATCCCGCTTCTCAACGATCACTTATTATCCATCCCGCTTCTCAACGGTCGATTTATTATCATCATTCTTCTTTGCGGTCAACATATTATCCATCCCGCTTCTCAACAGTCGACTTATTATCCATCCCGCTTCTCAACAGTCGACTTATTATCCATCCCACTTCTCTGTGGTCGACATATCTTATCCCACTTCGCAGCAATTGATGAATCTAAATCCTCCATCTCACCGGTCGATATATCTCGCTCCTCGGTGGACCGCTAAGTTACTCCTCGAGGCATGGCGTCTCAATGAGCCCGCGGGAGGGGAAGCTGGCTAGTATCTCAGTCTTTCTTTTGCAGTGTACGTGCGAGAGTTGAGTCATCCTAGCGAATAGCATGTAGGGAAGGACGGAACACCGAGCCTTCCAGAATAGATGAACAACTTTCAGATCAGGAGTCGAGAG